AACTAATCAGTATTTCGACAAAGGGTTAATCGCTCGAAGAATGTTCTTCGGTTGAAAAACAACGAATCCTCCATTTTGGTGTAAAATGGAAGAATAGAAGAATGTTCTTTAATTGAAAAATAGCGAATTTTCAATTTCGGCGTAAAATGGAAGAATAGAAAAACGTTCTTCGGTTAAAAAACAGCGAATTCCCCATTTCGGTGTAAAATGGAAGAATAGAAAAACGTTCTTCGGTTAAAAAACAGCGAACTCCCCATTTCGGTGTAAAATGGAAGAATAGAATAACGTTCTTCGGTTAAAAAACAGCGAATGTTCCATTTTGGTGTAAAATGGAAAATTCTTCAGTTAAAAAACGGCGAATTTTCAATTTCGGTGTAAAATGGAAGAATAGAATAACGTTCTTCGGCTAAAAAACAGCGAATGTTCCATTTTGGTGTAAAATGGAAAATTCTTCAGTTGAAAAACGGCGAATTTTCAATTTCGGTGTAAAATGGAAGAATAGAATAACGTTCTTCGGTTAAAAAGCAGCGAATTCCCCATTTTGGTCTAAAATGAAAGAATAGAAGAACGTTCTTCAGGGTAAGAAACAGCGAATCCTGCATTTAACTCTAAAATTGCATCGTTCCTTTTGAAGTTTCCGGTAACGATCGTAATTTTCACTAGTCGGATACCGTAGCAAAGGCAACACCTTGAGCAGCTGTAGAATTTCGCAGTGGGGAATTCCCTAGAGGGTCTCCGATACACGGTCTTTCATATATTGGATCCTCGGTTCCCTTAGAATCCGGGATTATTTCTCTCGACTCCGTAAACATTGATCCAGCTTAATCGTCGCGATGTCCGACGAAATCTTCGTCAACGTTTGCCCGTTCCAAGGAACCCTTGTGTACCCTGTTCGTAGATCTTCCACTACATGGAAACTCCCCGGGGAATTATTCCTCTGAACTACGCTTAACGGATGACTTACACTCGGTCACACGAGAATTCGCGATATTTACGAGACGCTGATCGTCCAGCGAAACATGGAACGCAATATATACAGCCTTTGGTCGATAGAAATTTCCATTAAAAAAATCTTTCCTTTCTCTGCCTTTTATCGAATGTATCGAACACCTTTCTGTTTTTTAACGTTTAACATTCCGCGGGCAGATACACTGTTGTTGGTTCGTTCGGAATGTAAAATGTAGAAAAATTCGAGCCGAGGTATCTCTGTTTCTAATTGAGGTAGCGACAAAAACGAAAAGATAAATTTCGATGTACCCCTGAAATTACTCCCAAAGCGAACTATATTTTTCGAACGCTGCCACGAAAAATTCAACATCCACGCTTCGCTGAAGAGAACATAGTTCGATTTGTATCCACTCCTGTTCATCTTACGAATAATTCGAGTAGTGCGTTGAATTTTTACCTTCAACTTACCAATCGAGGAAAATGCCGTTTAATTTTTATCGCTATGTCAATTAGAAGCACAGATACGAGAACTTTCCGAACAACCCAATACAAGATTACCAGGGAAAATGGACGATCGACATTTTGTCGAATTGTGAATTATTCTCATATTTCAGGTAGGCTAAAAATCAAAGGTAATTTTATTTCTCGTGCAGCTTATTCTACGAAACTGAAGATACTATCGATCGTTGTCGAATGTATTAACCTCTGACACTCGGTATATTTTGAGGTTAAGGTTGCCAGCAACTCGGGGCAGTATTGAGACTTAAAAAGCGACTAAAACGAGTGATAAATGATATTTATCGAAAATATAGATTTTTGTATTAGAAAATAAGCTGGCGATCCGTTATTGTCATCATCTTTCCGAGTTACGGGGGAAAGTTACTGGGTTGTTGGTTCCACCGCAGAAAATATACTTCGCTTTGAGAGTAATTTTAGGGGCACGTTGGATTTACAAATAAAATTAGGTAATATTTAGATAAAATACATTTTGGTTTTTGTCGTTATCTCTGTTTCTAATCGAGAGTCAATTTAAATTCTTCTTACATTTCGCTACCAACTTTCCGAACCACTCCATACGACCATAATTTCTCAAGAAAATATCGCTTTGTCGCCCGACAAAGTGTGTTCGTTAGCGAAGACGTAGAAAAGATGCAAAAGATTGGGTAGCCTGTAAGTTTGTGCACTCTCACGGCCGACGACAGAGACAAACGGAACTTTGGTGCAACGTCATCGACCAACGGGCAGAAAACACAACCTGGAACAGCTTGAGGCGGTTTTCTAGGTGCCTTGAACTTCCGGGACCGGTGTAGTCGACATTTTTTACCGATTATTTCCCGGACATCGAGATAAAAGGATAAAGGAACGGAGGGCATGGCGAGGAATAGCCAATTGGGAAGGTTGCTTTCCTCGCCAAGCCGCGTGCACCGGCCAGCCGGAAAATTCGGTGAGCTCGGATTAATCCGGTAGCCGAGGATTAGCGGTCAGATCCAGCCCTTATATCACAGGGTTAACTACCAACTGTTCCCCATTCTCCTCGCTCTATACTCTTACTTTAATAACAGTGTTTTGTAAAGGTGACACGATGCACCGCTATACAATCTTGATCTTTATTATCTTCAACTTCCCCTCACCTTCCCAGAGGTGTTCTAATTTTTCTAGAGAAAAATTGTGGCGAAACGTACGTAGGTAGAGAGTACGGAGGAAGTAGGAGGAACAGCGTTGGGAAAATTCTTTCGACTATCTCGTTATAAATTTCGTGGCTTTCGCGGTGAGAAGTTTTCTGTGGAAATTGTGAATTTTCGGGGAGGGTGAAAATTAGTTAATTACAGCGTGCTGAGAGGTGTCACGGAGTTCGACTTTTGAGGATAAATCGGGAGATAGGCCAAGTAATAAATTGACAATTTTTGCGGTCTGTTGATAATTAACTTTTTCGTCTAACGAAGAAAACGCATCGATACACTTTTCATGAAGCTAAATCATGCGAATCTTGAAAAGAAAAATCCTCTGCAAACGTGGGAAATTGCGAAATTTTCGAGGAGAGCCAAAATTGCTTAATTACAGCATTCCGAGAAATGACTTATTCCTAATTAATTTACCAAACACATCTACACACTTCTCGTAAAGCTAAAGGGTTAATCGTGACAGTATGAAAGGGAAAAAATTCCCTCTAAACGTGTGTCATCTTGAAAGCCCTGAATTCGCAAATTCGACGGAGAATACTGGCTAAGCGCGCCGTTAAAGGAAACAGGCCAGGTAAAAAGGCGCACGAAACGATCGCCGAAAGCGAGCAATCGAACGGCAGAGATGAAAGGACCGAATGCACAGAGAGAAACAGAGTGAGGGTGGGAGGGGGGCTGTAAAAGAGGAGAGGAGTACGCGTCGAGTGGCGCATCATTATCGTTCGTCGTTCGTTGTTTAGCCTCGTCGTTTTTCGCCCCGTACTTTCGCCACTTATACGCCGCTCATCAGCCAGCCAGCTAGTCTCCTTCTTCTCTTTTTCTCTCCCTCTCTCTGTATGCCACGAAGTCTCACCCTTGCTCTTTCTCCTACGCGTGTTACTTGCCCCCACCGTGTTCCACCGTCGCCCGCACCCTTTTCCGGGGAGCTTAGAGATTGTTTTAATACCCCGATGGGCAGAACTGTGACCCAGTTCCAGCTTAGGTGAATGCATATAGACGACGTGCAGTCGAGCCGCGTTTTCACAAGTCGGCTCGAGGCACGTGCTACTGCTGCTACTGTTACACGCGCCAACCCTCGGGGCCTTCGTTCCTTTCCATCGTTCATTTCCGCCGGAAAACTATGCTCCTTGCTTTCTCCAAGGACGCTGTATACTTCGGGGGAAAAAAGTTTCCGATGGTATTCGATGGATGATAGGCTCTTTTCAAGGGCTACTTTTCGCTTCCATCGACTATACGTTTAGTATGCTTTTCGGATTTTCGGGAGGAAGAAAAATGGTTTTTTCAAAGTGAAGGTTTTATCGTTGGAAGGAGTGTACTTGGAGATAGTGATCGTGTGAAATTTTTTTCAAGGACTACTTTTCGCTTCGAGCGACTATACGTTCAGAGGGTTCAAAGATCGAAGCCTATTTTTCAAACTTTTTTCCAGAGGAAGAAAACTAGCTTTTTCAAAGTGAAATTTCTATCACTGAAAAGAGTGTACTTAAAGGTAGTAGTAATCGTGGAAATTTCGTACGAAACCTTTTTCAAGGGCTACGTTTCGCTTACTCCGACTATACGTTTAGTCCATTTTTCAAATTTTCTTCGGAGAAGGGATTAAATTCTTTTCAAAGTGAAATTTTGATAACTGGAAGGAGTGTAATGTTAAGGTAATAATCGCTTTCACCGACTATACGTTTAGAAGATCCAAAAATTAAAGCCTACTCTTCAAACTTTCTCGAGAGGAAGAAAAATAGTTTAGTTCAAAGTGAAGTTTTTATCATTGCAAGAAGTGTGTTTAAAGATAGTAACGGTGGAAAGGAAACGGTGCCAAGGTAGAATTTTTCTATCCTGAAATTAGGGCACGAATACCTAACAATAGGTGGTGTGTAGCCCTTTGAAAAGACGAATCTCTCAAGGATCGTCCATTAACGGTTGTTCGTGTGAAAAGTGGACGCGCAAACGAGATTCCATTATTACGAAAAAAGAGAAAAGAAAAAAAGGAGGAGAGAAGAGAGAAGCGGAGGAGCAAAAATGGCAGCCGGTGGCGGAAGTTAATTTCCGCGAGACGCTAGTGTCTCCTCGAAAACGCAGCGTCGTCGGAAGTTTCGCTCGATCGCCCCCTGAACGATTTCCCTTCCGGTTTCTTGCATGTACTTACTACGTGTACGTATATACCGAAGAATAGACTTCGAAACACCGTTTGAATAGTCGATCCAAGTCGTTTACCCGAGGAACGAAAACTTTGCTCGTTAATTGAACCGATCGTTTCTCTCCCCCTATATTCGACTACCAATTCAACTTTTCGAACCACCTTACACTCCTCTAATTTTCGTTCTTTATTCCTCGTGAAATCATCGCGTGAAAACGGTACAATGTCGCGTTCTTTTCTCGAGGCTCGAGTGTCTGCCAGCGGCTACCTCTCCCGACGAGAGCTCTAGAGGAAAGGAATGCTGTGCAAAATCTGTAAGGTGAAACGTGGAACAAATAAGAGACGAAACGAAGGGTTATTTTTGCCAAATGTTACATACCTCTGGTTGAGATTGCACGGAACACTTGACCATCTGGTACGCCTTGTCGCACGGATCAGTTCCCTCTGAGAAAACCGTGAAATTACACTTTGACCAAGGAGCTGTGATAACGAGAGTAGACTGCGGATGTGTTTGTGCTCTCGAAATGTGTGAGATATGGAAATATCGTGTACAAACGTGTGCAATAAGTATGTTGAAAATATCGAGAAACGTTCGTTGTTTAGACGTTAGGATTGTAATTTAACCCTTTCCGCGACAGATTTTCGAAATCGTTTCTCTCGGCTGTCTCGTTTCGAAGTTTCTTTTATTCAATCGAGGTGAAAGGGTGGAGAGGATGAAATTAAGGCTTAAATTGATACGCAAGTGCGCCAGTATGCTGCTATAGCACGGTGCAAACGAAATTTTTAAAGCGCCTACAGCAGTGAAAGGGTTAAATTGTATACAAAGTAAATAAGAAATTTCTATCGAAGTCCCGTTTTATTACCAATTCCCTGTAAAAATGCACAAACATCCGCAATCTCGTAATTTCTCTTAACACTAGAACTACCGACTGAATCAAAGTGACCTATCGGCAATTTCTTACAAGTGAATTTTTAAGTAACTAAAAGGTGATTAAAAAAATTCGATTCCTGTCGATGGAAATGAAGTCGAGAAAATTGCGAACGACAATTCTTCCAAGTATGGAACATTCACTTTTCTTTAGAAAGTTGCTAATGTGTCACTTTTAACCCCTTAACCTATGATTTCTTTTCTGACTGTGCATCTAAGCGTCAGCCATAGGCTAATCTGTCACAGATTAATTACATTTAGCAATCCTTAGTGTTACAAATTCAAACGAAAGTTAGGATTACGATGAATTTTTCTTACCGATATACCTATTTTTCTCGCATCTTCGCCGGAATCTCTGCCACGAGCCTGACTCGTTGTTACAGATTAACCTTTTCAACAACTCCCTATTATTTTAAGAATTTTATTTGAAATGCGCTTCAAGTGACATTTGGTTGATAGGAACCAAATACTAATTATATTGAAAATAGCATTAAGAGTCATATACATACGTACACTTCGTTCAAAATAAAAATAACCTCGTTTCGCGCATGGGACGTGCCTAAGGCAGGGCTAGAACCACTAGTACAGGGGTCGGCAACGCGGTGCCCGCGAAGCAATTCTAAATTTTAGATGTTTGAATAACAATTATGTTTCTTCAATTAAAATTTATGTAATAAATTTATGTTGCATTAATATTATCATGTTTAAATATCACCCCACCCTCCTCTTCATCCCACGGTGCGGGCCGAACTCCCGCATTTCTGAAATATGCCCTCCAAGTAGAAAGGGTTGCCGACCCCTGCACTAGAACGTCCAAACCCCCCCACTTAACCGCCTACGTGTTTCTCCGTCTTACCCTCTGCTACGCTCTCTGTCTATGCGCAGAACGGACGAAAATCGGTCCGAGAGCGAGGTTATTCTTATTTTGAACGGACTTTATATGTGTACCTATTGCTGATCCACGTAAAAAAAATATTGCAAACTATAATACATATTTAAACTAGCAATTTAAGAATGACTTGGTTCATACCTATGAATAAAACTGGACAGAGGAGTCCAAAGGGTTTAACCCGGTCGGTAGTTCTAGCGTGTCTGTCCAAATCTACTCACGAACGGATTTGCACTTGTTGAACAGTTTTTTAGACGAGTCCTGCATGCTTCGCGGAAGATGACGGAGGGCTCTTTGTACATCCACCTTGGCGTTCTGGTCCACGATGCCGTTCCTTCTCATGAAGCACAGAAGGTAGCACTTCAATTTCGGGTCCTCTGGCTCCAAGTTGCCGGACTTGAACCTCCTTAACGCGGCTGAAAGGTTTAATAAGGGGAAAAAAAACGACAATTTTCATTTTCTCTCTTTTCGTACCGAAACTCTTAGAGACGGTGTAATTATCGAGGGTTTTATGGAAAAAAAGTACCCCATGAAACCTTGGACTCTTTGCGACAGTCCTTTCTGATGTCCGCCACGACGAAGTACTGAAAAAGAGAGAGAGAGAGAAAGAGATATTTGGGTGAAAGATAACGTTCGTCGAACCGGAGATAGTAAATAAATTCTCACCGATAGAATTACAAGTAACGTAAGAATGAAGAAGAAATTTCTCAGCATGCTTATCTCGACTTTTTCCTGATTCCTCGACGGAGAACGATACGAAGGCACTTGCAACACGCGACTAAAGTACCTGCAACCGGAACTTTATCGATTCTTATCGATCACGTTCGCATAAATGTCGAGATTACGCGGATCGAAGTGTATTTCGGTTGTTAATCAATTCGATAACCAATTGCAGATCTGTCTAATGCCGTGTGTATCTTGCTTATACTCTGTAAGCTCGAAAAAATGCAACATTCGCTTATCGAGGTCGATCATCGCTCTTTGGAACACTCGAAATTGGTACGCAGAGAATCACAACGATTCTGCGTGGAGCAAACGTGTCGTAGTCCGAGTGTCGCGGATTATCGCAGAAATTTGACCGAAAAGTGCGATCGCGCTTCTTTCACTCGAAATATTTCCTTCTCGACGTTTTCACCGAATACCGACTGTTCGGAAGTAGACTCCCTCTTACCCGGTTCCGCTTGAACTCTTTGGGGCACAGTGGGATAAAAAGTCTGTTACATTGTAACAACGTTTTATGATGCGACCCTAGGCGCGAAGAAAGCCAAGTTAGAATTAAGGTTTAATTAATATAAATTCTAAAGAACCCGTAACACAATAAGTTTATGAAGCCACCGGCCATCGGTTACCTTCTACGACGTTTTAAACTTAAGTAATATACTTCTTTATTTTCGGCTTAATGCCTTTTCAATTTTTTTTTGTAATTTTGCATGTCTTAGTAAGGTCAAGGCGCTTCATAAAGTTATTACCTGTTACGGTCGAGGGACGCGGAAATTCCCGGACGTCACCCGAGAGTCCCTTCAGGACCTGGCGATCCACGATGAATCGTAGGCGGTCACCTTGCTGGTGACTCTAGCAAAAATGGGGACAATGGAAAGATAGCAACCCCTTCCGGGTCTAATTCCAGAAGTTCTCAAAAACCAATCCGCGTTCCTCACCCCCGCCAAAAAACTGTATACAAGATATAAATTAAGATAAACGGAAAAATTACAAGTTAATACACAAGTACACATTCAACTAAAAACACATTTCTCTGTAAAAATTGTAATACCGCGCTGCAACTACACTAATTATATTATTAAATTGAGTGAAAGGGTAACTGTAGTATATCTTGCATCAAACCCCCAAATATTCAAGCTGCTATTAATTTACCGCTTGAAGCGTATCGAGTAGAGTTTAAAATAAAACAGATAAATACTACGTACGCGCTGAACAAGTCCACATAAAAAGTTTGTAAGCACGATTTCAAAAAACAGAACACAGTGTAGGCTATTAACCAAATGTATTATTTTTAGAATATAAGCGGTGTCTGTCTCGCTCGACGGCTATAATGAAAAGTGCTCTCTCCGCGTCCTATCCTGCGTTGTTCCGAAAAACCGATTAGAGCCTCCTAGTTCGACTGTCCGGGGAAAGGGCTTAGTTTACGGCACCCATGGGTAACCGCGCGCTTCCTCTTCCAGTGACCCTGGATGACGAAGTCCAGGCACTTCGCCGCCTAAATCTCGCATTCCTTACATCTCTTTTTTCCTTTTTTTTTTTCTTCTATGTAAAAGCACAACTGGCACAAGTCCTTCTTTCTGTCCGTTCGAATCCTATGAATATAGGATTGTCGCGACGCCGGTCAATTTGTCTCTTTCGTCGGAAAGTCGAAGAAGTTTTTCCTGACGACGAACGTCGAGATACGGCTTCGATCAACCCAGATATTCTAGACGGCTTGGAATATTCCTTTCGTTAACGGCCCCTCGCCTTTATCTTTCACCTTTTGCGAACTGAACGATCGCGCTCGATAATACCTTTCGATATTAGTACTTTGAGGCGTTCTTATCCTACCTGTTGAAACTTACTGGAAATCTGTTGCAAGGAGGAAAATAACGTTCTTTTTTTCAACCCTCTTTAGGCAAACATATTTTCTCACACTCTGTAGATCTAATTTTTTTTCCTATTTTGAGCTTTAAGTAATCGTTCGATAAGTGCAATTTTCTTTCGTTCTCTGTATCGCGTTATGACAAAAACCGCGAGTCGCAGCATTGTAAATAATGGAAAACTTATTTCTACGCACCGAGGAAATAATTACAAAAATTGATCATTTCTGGCACACGAAGCCGAGAGAAATGTGAACGTTGAGGGGTTAGAAAATATGGGAAGAAATTCTGAGACACTTATCGAAGTCTCTTCGTCTACTCAAATGTCCCAAGCTCTCTTCGATAAAGATCAAAATTCTTCTCGAAGAGATACAAGAGTGTGAGAAAATCCCGAAGACGATGAAGCGAACATGTTGAAGCCTGGGCCTGTTGACGTAGGAGTGGACAGGGATCGGCAGGACGACGCGTACACACTCTTCACGAGACCGTTGAACGCGTACTTTTCAAGCCTGGGCCTGTGACGTAGGAGTGGACAGAGATCGGCAGGACGACGCGTACACACTCTTCACGAGACCGTTGAACGCGTACTTTTTGCGAACGACGCTCAGACAACGCGGGAATAGTCTTCGTGTACAGTACACTGTTGCGAGAACGTAGAAACGTTTAATTAATTTTACGCCCACCCTACTCCGAGTTGGAGTACTTTCTGACAAGAGTGAGAGAGTTAAGAATTATTATCTGGTAAAATATCGAAGAAAAATTCAACTGTTCGCAGAATATTCCTTTCATCGCGTAAACTGCGAAGTTTCAAAGAATTCTCGCGTTTAACAAAGTTGCGACCGAGTCGCTGTGCGGCTGAGAACAAAGATAGCCGCTGTCTGTGATTCCCCGGCCTTACCGAAGATGGGAAAGAACCGTTGAACTGAAAGACGGTGAGACACATCGTTGTTTCTTCTTTATCTCACACGAAGACTGAACGCTAGTATATATGTATTAAAACGTTTCTGCGTTCTAAGTTTCGTGCAGGAATTCAGCGTACGTCATCGGCTCAGTCTTCGACGCGTGTTTGCCACATGCTCTTCGGAAGATAAAGGATCATGAAGGACAAAACGATGAAATCGTTGCAGTGTTCCAGTTTGTGGTACGACAACGAACGAAACGTTGAGAAAGAAGACATGTGCAAGAAGAGAAAAAGGAAGAGAAGCGGTAAACGTTGGAATAAGCCACAATTATGTCAAATTTTCTATTGCAACTCGTACATTGCCTACGTTGTTATTCGAAAGCATTATCCGAAAGGTAAGAATAAAGTTTCTGTGTTGTAATTAAGGTGATACGTGTTCTGAGTGATAAATATCGTTTCGTTCAGTATGTATCTAATGTTTTACGTGAATTTACACGTGCAAGATGTACAGGTTTTAATAAAGGAAAGTGGAGAGAAAGTGTTGCAGGTTAATGGTGTGTGCAAGACTATTATTTTGGGACATTCTTAGGAAAGATTAGGAGGATGAAAACACGACGGTTATAGTTGTATGTATATTCGCGTATCTCTCGGTCTTCGTTGCACCTTAAACTTTATGCGCATCGTTACCCTGATTCTCGCAGAAGAGTCTTTCAAATCGACTCTCCGCGCGAGAGAGTTTCCCTTGTCGTGTGCGCAGTACTCTGCGCAGTAAACAAGCTGTGTTAGTAGGTGCGAGTGGTGTATTGTCACAGAGAATTGATTAAAATCCGCATCGCTGCGACGTATTTTTTTCCCTCTGTTCGAGAACGTGAAATAATTGTGGTGTACCGTGCGCGTTGTATTTTACGTTGGGAAATGTTTGCGTTAGACGCGCGACTAATTAAGGTTATGTCGAGAGTTGGAAAAAACAGCAGTGGCGCTGCGGACATCGCGACACGAGTATAATTAAAATCAATGTAACAGTACAGTGTTCCGAGACGTTGTTTTTCTCCGGTGTATTTTTCCAAGGATTTGTTTTAGTTGAGAAATGTCGAACGGATTAACAGTGTTAAATAATGAGAAGAACGCCAAGGAAACAAGTATGAAATTCGAATATCGATTTTTTATTCAGACAACGCCGACAAAATTTTCATAGTCATGTTTTCCTCCACCGAAATCTTTAGACTGCAACGCGTCCACGCTCAGTGCCACCACTACTATATCTCTCGCGGAGGGATTGCAGGAGGGACACTTGACAGGGGTGAGTTTTCCTCTTAATTAAGGTTATTTTTGGAGGAGAAACCTGTTTTCAAAAGCACAGCCAGTAGCTTGTTATCCTCTTCACAGATGGAGCAGCCAAACATCTGCAGACCGAACCTGAAGAGACCTGCCGAATCAGAACCTGAAGGTCAGTGGCTGGTTGCACGATCCTTGTATCATGCTATCGAAACAGAGCACTTAGTTGTTACAGCATGTGCATATTAAAGTTGATATTTTGGTAGAAACAAGCAGAACACGGATCACCTTATAAGTCTTCCAGGTTCAAGTTCTTTTGAGTTAAGGGAAAGCTGGCAGAAAACATCAAGCAAATTAATCTATTTCTGTTATTTTTGTCAGGTACGTCCAATTCAAAGAAACGTCACAAGAATCCACAGCCAAAGAACGCGGTGTGTGCTTTGAACGAATTAAAAACTGGTGCAGTATACAAGGTTGTTGACCAAACTGGCCCGACACATGCTCCAATATTTACAATAGCTGTACAAATAGATGGACAGACGTACGAAGGCAAAGGCCGTACCAAGAAAATGGCAAAGCATGCAGCTGCAGAGCTCGCATTGAGAAACATCATACAATTCCGAAACACGCCGGAAGTTCATCAAGCGATCAACACTTGCCAACCTTCCATACCTCTCGAGCCAGATTTCACGAGTGACGTGACAGAACGCGATAATCATCTTGTCAATGCTTTCAAAACCTTAACGCAAGAACCAAAGAGCACAAATAAATTTTTAGAGAAAGGGCCTGTAGCGCTTATTAACGAATTATACCCTGGTGTAGTATACAAATGCGTGTCTGACAACGGGGAGAGCTATGCAAAATTCACGATATCGGTAACGATCGACGGAGAAACGTTCGAGGGAACTGGACCAAGTAAAAAATTAGCTAAAGCTGCGGCTAGTAAGGCAGCGTTAGCCAAGTTGAGGAACGTTCACAGTTCCTCATTTTGTATACCGCTGCCTGTTCGCGTATTGCCAAACTTTTCCAATAGCGGCCATTGGCAAGATCAAATGACCCTACCTCAAATGTTAGCCGATAAGATCGGTAAAATGGTGAATCAAAAATTTAGCGAATTAATACAATCGAAACCGCAACACGCACGACGTAAGGTATTAGCAGGCATCGTACAAACGAAAGGTTCGGACGCGGAATTGATATGCGTAACAACCGGTGAGGGACAATTTTCCTACGTATTCTCTCTTTCCTTCTAAATCGGTAATTGTGCTTTTACACGGTGTATCATTTATTTGTTTCGAATAAAAGGTACCAAATGTGTCTCTGGAGAGCACCTGAGCGTGAGCGGTGGTGCTCTAAACGATTGTCACGCCGAGGTAGTGGCAAGGAGATGTTTATGCGAGTATTTATATAAGCAATTGGAACTTCATGCAGAGGATCGTGACGTGGAGTCGATTTTAGAACCGACGAAAAAGGGGTTCAAATTAAAACAGGGCATTCAGTTTCATTTATACATAAACACCGCTCCGTGTGGTGATGCGCGAATTTTCTCGCCTCACGAAGAAAACGAGTCCGTTGACAAGCATCCGAATCGCAGAGCAAGGGGTCAATTGAGAACGAAAATAGAGTCCGGAGAGGGTACCATACCGGTGAAAAGCAGCGAAGGTATCCAAACGTGGGACGGTGTACTGATGGTATGATATATTAAACGTCGTACACGATAGAAAAAATTAAAAAAAAAAAGCAAGTCCTGAATTTTTCTCGGGCACAGACTTCAGTTACGCAAAAATATTTACTTCAACTTATAGGGCCAAAGACTGCTGACGATGTCGTGTTCGGACAAAATAGCTCGGTGGAACGTACTTGGTGTGCAAGGTGCACTTCTAAGCCACTTCATCGAGCCAATTTACTTCCACAGCATCGTTCTTGGCAGTCTATTGAACCCAAGCCACATGTATAGAGCGGTTTGCGGCCGTATCGAAAACACGATTCAAGGTCTACCGCCACCGTACAGGCTTAATAAGCCGCTAATGAGTCTTATCACATCTTCTGAGGTTAGACAACCGGGGAAAGCACCTAATTACAGCGTTAATTGGACAATCGGTACGTTATTATCAAGAGAGGGGGGAAGTTATTAGAAATTTGACTGTAATTTTGATCTGTGTGTGTGTGTCTCTCTCTCTCCATAGGCCAGCCGGAAGCTGAGGTGATAAACTGTACGACGGGAAAGGACGAATTAGGGAAACCTTCGAGAATATCGAAACAAGGTCTTTTCAGAAGATTCTACAACTTGCTAGGTAAACTTGACACGATAGACGACGCTGACAGGAATAAGTGCCGTCATTACTTAGATGCGAAATCTTCCGTGCAGAATTACTCGGTAAGTCGTACGGTGTGTCATAGTCGTACTTTACACACGTGTTGGTTTTTACGAAATTGCGATCATCAAATTATTTTATTTAATTTTTTTTTTCTCTGTGCAACAGCTTGCCAAGCATCAGTTGAAGGAAGCTTTCGTAAAGGCACATCTTGGGAGTTGGGTTAAAAAACCGATCGAACAAGATATGTTCGAAGTTGATATCTGACTAAATCAGAGTAACAATAAGATCCCAACAGATGACACAGACTTTCGGCTGACAGACTATGTAGTTCCTACTGCAAACTAGATCGCTCGTTCAGCGTGTTATGATATGGCAGAATGCGGCATCAGTAAAGCATAAATCATAGGATCTCACGCATGTCACTTTGACTTTGCGTTGTACGATCTCGTATTATTATATACATCGTGTTCAGAGTGCAAAGAAACACCGGCCCCGGCACCACCCGAAAAGGTGGGACGGGACCCAATTTTTGTCTTCGAGCCGTCGAAGGTTTTACGATTCGATAGTTGCTCAGTTTAAATATAGGGTTATCATCGTGACTTTCGATACTTCGAATTTTAATCTTAATCGTTAGTATGATGTCAATTTCGACACTTTTTATAGACTGGTAGAGGAATAAAAGAGAAAACACGAAGAAAGAATTGTTTCGTTTCGCAACAGAAAAATCAGGCTAAAAAACAAAAGAAAGAGTTGTACGGTAGTGAACAATTTACGATTGTTTTAAATCTACTCGAATCGATAAATTGTACGATTCCAACACATATCTCTGTAAAATCAGTCTTATTATCGAAAATTCTTCTAGCGGGTATTTGAAAGCGAAACAAACAAATACTTTGGTATGATTTTACCAAATCACACTCGTACAGAGAAGGGGGAAAAAAGAGAGAAGAAAATTCAAATTAAGACACACAAAAAAAAAAGGAACATCTCGAGGTTTTACTCGTGCCTGCGATATTTTTTCTTAGGCTTTAGAGATAACAGTGATATAACATGCATCAAGTTACATCCCCAAAGGCTGTGACCAAGTATAGGATCGTCATGCAAATTATTAAGTACTTTGTTGCGAAGTTCAACGAAACGAGACAGGAATCGATTCCTTGTCGGCGTGATAAACACCTTTATACCTCATTATTATTTTACTTATTTATTTACTACTAGCATTCTGACAACTTTTTTTTGCAATATTCGTCGGCAATGAATCGACCCTCGACTGTTCGATGTTGTTACGATTAATTTTCATATAGGGGACAAATGAGAACTGGAGTGCGTGATAAAGAAAAAAAAAAAAAATAATCAGCGTGAAAGTATGAGTGAGTCATTATATGAATCAATAGGTGAGTGTAGAAGTATATTTAACTAATTAAATAGTTTTAGAGAATCCTAAGATCATTGCCTCACTGTGCCAGTATTATACACTTAATGCGATTCTGCCGTAATGACACACTGCCCGGTGTCGGTCCAGTTTTGCGTGAGAAACTCGACGTACATATGTACAAAAGAAAAGCAAATCAATTTCATTTCAAGTACTATTAATGCATAATATATATTAACATGAATTGTTAAAAGCAAATTACTTCGAGGAGGAAGAAGCGTAGTTCCAATAGTACAGTTATTGGACTTAAGTCATTTAAGTATCGGGCCTTATTTATTTGACAATAGCACTATTTCTTTCTTTTTTTCTTTTTTCTTTTTTTTTTTTTTTTTTTCGTGTACATATTTGTGCCAATAAGAGAAACGAAACCAAATAATGCCAATGTTAGAGGTCTAATTTTTAACTGGTATTCGCTTATTTTCTCAGAATATCTATTTTTTACGAAATATCGTTCGAAGCAAAATGATTTTTTTTACGTTAACCGCCTACAGTGCTACCTATAATTTCATCATTCTTTTCTTCTTTTTTGCGCTTCTCGAATAATAAACGAACATGTTTTACGAATTAATAATAACGAATTGCCATGATCGCCTCTTGCCGCTTGCTTCTTGCCTTTGCATATATTAAAGAACATGTGAATTCAATCTTTACGAACACACACAAACACACATTGAACTTACATATAGTATTTACCGACTCTTTGCCAATAATGGGCATAAACGAGGAACGTTTTACCCATAAAGATACTCTTTTAATCTGAGTTGATTAAATGAAAATTGTTTTACGGGTGTGCCACCAAGAGAAACGGGAAACAAAGGTGAATACACGAATGATAATATATATAACGAACAGTCTAAAAAGGGAGATAAATTGCCAGAAACACGTGACACTAGATGAAGAGCCCAGAGACTAGCACGTGTTATCGTTTTTTCACGTCATACAATCAGAGTAGTGATACTTCTACGACAAGGTCGGTAATTTCGCATTCTTAGGATAGCATTTTTATTATGTAGAATATAAGAGGGACGCGCATCGGATTTTTCTCGATTCTTCCGTATATTTCTCATCTCTATGCGAACCGTGCCGCGTACACACTTCATATATTTACCTACGTACATATAATATATAATACAGTATATATTATATCACACAAATACACACAGATCGATACACCGATAGAAGAAAACACCACTTAGTGGTCAGTGATGAAAAAACTTGGAGTGAGCATAATTAGCAGTTAAAGAAAATTGAATTACCACTAGTTTTAGCCAATCTTCGACACAATTTCCGATTAATTCTCCGTATCTCGCGGAGGAGAAAAAAAAAAGAAACATAGTCCTAGAACATCGAGCATAATACGAACTCGTAGTCAGCTAGAATTTAAGCTTGACTAGTGCCTCTAGTTGTAACTTTGTCCAAGGAAAATAAGTAATATCGAACATAGGCAAGAGAATATTCGAATAAACCTTTATTTACCAAGTGCTGGACGTTATCTTGCGATCACATACCCCCCACATGATTATTCTTACTGTATCCAAAATAAAAAAAAAAGAATAGCAACAACCATTAATTAGAATTCGATTGCGTTTTACCGCGTTTATTCCTCGAAATTTCAACCGATATTGTAGCTATTTTGCATGTATTGCAAATCAATTATTAACGTATACATATAGTACAATATCTGTCCAAAAGAAAAAAAAAAGTACAGCAAGTGTTCGGAATTTACAGGGTATCAATGTACGTTTTTGTTTTTAATGCATGAAATGCCTCTTGCTTTGTGCTGCTTAAATAGTAAATCGAACTCAGTATTGTTACAAATGCATGTAAAAAAAAAACTTGATTTTATTTTTTTTAAATAAATTCGATGAAAGAAGGTTAGGAAAGAAAGATTCAGTTCCCTTTTTTTCAAACTGTATATTAATTACATCGTTACTGTATATTATTCTTCATCTGTTATTAGTCTATTAATGGCGTTATACCTATAGTACAGCTATCGTTATCGCGCTTCGCACATGAATCCCTCGACAGCGACTGAATCGATTTCGTGCTACGTTGCTTCAGTCTTGTCGAACGGGAGAACCTACTAAAACCACAAATAGGTTATATGTTTTATAATGAAACCAGCGCCGTAGATCTTTATGATAGTAAATAACAATCGATGATCAGATCTTGTGTATCATTATCGAGAATCTCGCGTTTTACACTGACTGTGAGAAATATCGAAGAGTGTTATCGATCGGTTTACTAGCGACGATACCAAGCGAGACGAAGCGACCACGTGCGAAGCGTTTTTTCGTCCAACGTTACATCGGTTTTTCTTTCGACTTAACCGCTAAATGTGATATGTATCGAGTTCGCCAAATGACTTTTCGCCATGCACCTTTTTTATCCGCCATGGGTGAAAAGTATGCTCGAGCAGAGTCGCTTTAAAAATCAAATAAAAAAGAACATCGCGTGAAATATTAAAATTAGACTCCAGTCCGTGCGTTTTTATCTTCGATCTTGCGACCATTCGCTTAGAAGTTTTAATTTTAGCCTGTAAATTGCGACGATTCTCCATATTCCTCGCTTATTTTACATTTTTCCTTTTTTTTTTCTTTCTTTAGAATACCTTCAATACTTGAAGAAACATTTAACCTTTTCGCCATTTGAATATTTGCTAAATGTCAAGGGTAAAATTAGTCATCTATCAAAGTGGTAACAAAATCACGTGTAATTGCAAATGAAGTTTTACGGGAAAACTTTTCTAACAAAGAGGTTAGCATCGGAAAGGTTAATGTTTCTTCTTAGTATGTCTCTGTTAGACGACAGGAAGACTCTGAGCAAACGTTATCGAAGCGTTTCCCCGCTTTGCAATAATCCAGTGGTCGAATAACGCGAAACACTGATAATTTCATTGCATTTATTTCGAGCACGTCTTTCACCGGATGTCGTGTAACAAATCTAACAGGCTCGATCCTTTATGCGATCTACGCAAGCGAACAACGCGAATGAGCCGCTAAAAGCGTTCAGGAACAGCCTAAATCTATCGACACCGACGAGTAACGAAAAAACGATCATGCATCACAGATAATGAGTAACCAATTCCAAGCGTTAGTTCAATCCTCGTCTAAGATCATTCGCTTCAATTGCTATTTCGATGACCAACACCTTGACTGCCTAATAATTGTCACGATTAAAAGTCAACATTTATTCTCTATTCGACGGAATCCTTTTCTCTTGAAAAAAGTCTACTGTGAGCAGTCAAGGTGTCAATCGATTAGTATGTCGTGCCTGTGCATGCTTGTCCAGAAATGATGCGTTCTTTCATACGATCCGTCGTAAATTCCGATGAAAACTGCGTTTAGAATGTTAACAACTACACGTCGATTATGATTATTCGTCGCTATCAGTCTAAATCTACTCGATTTCGGTGGAAGGTGTCCTCGAAAACTAGTAATCATCCAGGAGTAACGATCAATCGCAAACTCCTGAGACGCGTTTCCACTCTGACGCACACACTTAGGGTTAATTACGTAATAGTACTGAGCTAACAAACATTCGGATGCGTAGAACGCTATGGTTTAGTTTGAAACTTCATTTTCAAGGTATGTAGGTAGAACGGTTACGTGTGTGTAGCTTGTGCCTTCGGGAAACGCGATTTTTCGCTTCGTTTTTTACGCTATTCTCGCGTTTACCTGAATCGGAATCGAACAGAGAAACCTTCGAACGGAAAAAGTTCCCTCGCAGGGGAAAGCTGCAGGACAGTTTTTGGCCCTCTGTTGGGTAAAATTCTAATTTAATGTACATCGAACCGACGAATATATTACTCTGACTCGAACTAAGCACCGTAAGAAAATAGCCATGGCTGGATAAACTTCGATCTCCATTCAGGTAACACGCGTAATAAATTAAACAACTCGCAGAAGCTTTCTTCCGATAATTAATATCAGCACTCGGCTTCCATATCATCCTCCATTATTATCAACAATATCGTACAATTATTACGGAGGAAACGTGTGTTCTGCTTACATTAGTAATACTACACGAGATAGGCTAGAGAGAGGGAGAGAGAGAGTGATTACAGTACAGGTGAAACATTTTACAGATACAACGAGCAACACGTTCAGCCTAGAGACAACGGAAAACAAGAGAACGATAGGGGGGGGGAGTTTTATCTTTTTTCCCTTAAATATTCACGCGCGAGAGAGAAGAGAAAGAGATCGAGGGGAGGATATATTATTTACAATGATCTCTCAGCACGCGTTACTTCTCGGATATATAAATGGATGCAGCTATGGATTACTAAAATCGCGACGAAACGGCAGAAGAAGCAGAACAATTTACGCGATTACTGGCTGAAATACACGTAATAATTACATCGAGAGTTGGCCTTGCATTCGAGAAAGAATCCGGCAGTCTGATTCTCGACCTAGCTCTTCGAATTTTATTCTCAAAATGCTCGAACGATAATACCGTCGTGTGTGGAATGCAAGCACATCGTAGGATAAATGTTTTTTCATTTTTTTTTTTTTTTTTTTTTTAATTAATTAATTAATAAGACTTTACTAACGCGTAGACAGATTTAAGTCGCGAACAGATATTCTCTTTCCTGTAACAGTACGTACATCGATGTTTCACGCTTTGTACACGCCGTGGTCTCTGCGTCGCGTGCTCTTCTTTAATTACAATTAATTATAATATCTTTTAACCGCGTGTCACGAGACCACGGTGTTATACCTTAACAAAGATATGTACCTCCTCGCGGAGATATAACTTTCTATCCTTCGATTTAACATGTATACTCGTCGAGAGATTCCTCCATGCGATGTAGGAGCTTCGTCTCGTCGGTGAATCTCGCTCGCAACGGAACACACTGCCCTTGGCTGCCCCATTCGAGCGCGTTTCTCCGATATTTTCAATAATTTTTTTAATAAACGCGCGTGTGTGTGTCGAGGAGCAGGCACTTTTTAATCGTCGTTTCGTCGATCAGTCTCACAGTCGATTCGTCTCTATCCTTCTCAATGCTGAAGATACACTTGAATCGAGGACTAGTTTGAATATGAATGTTCAGCATTGAAAAGGATAAATTCATTTTTTTTTTTTTTTTATATGTATATTCTTTTTCATTTATCGCGATTTCTAGAGACTGTACAATCTCTATTCGACGCTGTAAACGTGTGTATAGTGAGCAACGACTGCTCAATGGGGCACCAAGAGGCTTCTTCAGTTCAGTTCTTCTCTGACCATGGTAAAAATTCTGTTACTATAGCTCTTCCTCTGCTCCTGGACCTTGGTTCTTGGTTCTCCGGTAAACGAGAGCCGTCCATCGACCAGTATTTCTTGAGCATCCTGATCACCTCAAGTGGGCTCGAACATCCCGGACTGTTACCATTCGTAGTCGTGCTGATGGAAGGGGTTGGTGCATGGTTGTTGAGCGTGTAGATGGGTCACTATCGGCGGTGGTTTAATCAAATCGAGATCCCTGCTGACCACCTCATTGTAGAGCTGTAAAAAAGGAAAAAGAAGG